TGGAACAGTATGCTGTCGAAGTGCTCACGGAAAAGCGCGGTTTCGACCAAACACTAGTATCCATTAAAAGGATCTAGTTTGGGTCTATTCGGTTACCCCGACGCGCGCAGCTCGACAAGATCCTTCAAACACCTTGGCTGCGTCCCGTATACCACGTGCCACCGCGTTGGAGGCTTTAGCCAAGTACTTTTTCCGCGTCGACCTTTCGTACTCATCACTCCTACGTATACCCCCATCCCAGCGTTGGCATCGTAGTAAGCCTTATCTGGCATAGTGGAGCAATCAGGAAGTTCTTAGCTGTTTTTGAGGGCGCCCCCGAAGCGGTGACTATAACTCCCTCATTATGTGCTCGCGACCTCGAGGACTTGTATCAGTACTCACTGGTATTAGCCCGAACCCGCGTAAACTCTTCCTGTGCTATAAGATTCTCTGAGCCAGCTGTGTCGGAAGAGGCACGGGACGTGTTGTGCCAATTGGTCCGCTGTTTTTTGCCTGTTAATACGAGCGAGACAGTCTCCCCCATGCGCGTGATGAATCTCACACCTGAGGACAAAACTTGGCTGACTGACCGCGTTAACGAATTTACCAGTTACCGAACAAATACCCACTCCTCTAAGCGATGAATGGGAGAGCTCTTCAATGTAGCTTGCTCCACGCTAGCCGCCTTAGCCACGATGCACGACGACACTACCGTGCGATGGGTAACTCTCACCCGGCCGCCAGGTAACGTGCCCGGTAAGATTTGACTTCGTTTTAAACGATGTGGCACACGAAGCTGGGTGGGCATGAGGCCGCATGGTGGATTTTTGGGTAGCTGGTGCCGACCATACCACACAAATGCGCGTAGATAACGCCCTTTTCGACACGGACAGTAAACGGCTGTCCGTACGCATTATGGGCTTCACTTGGAATCATGGAATATTACCGCACTACTTTCCACGCACGGGCGGAGGCAAGACGACCACCACGTGATCGACGGCTACGTTCGCCTCGGCAAACTCGCCAGGGCTGCAAACGCGGTGAACGAAGCCGTTTCTCTCTTCCTTCAGATCGTCGAGCGCATCCCGTCTGGCCAACGGGACACCGGATATTGGATACTGTCTATAGTAAATCAACATCCGATTCCCCGTCACCATCTACGGGAGCCTACCATCAGGCGGCACCCTCCAATCTCCCGGATACCCTCCGGACAAACCATCAGACCATCACACTAACAACCGACCAGCAGGCCGCATTTGCACTCGCTATGGCGGGTCACCCCATTTCTAGCATTAACGCCGCTCGGCACCGGAAAAACCCTCTTAGCAGCCATAATCGCAGCGTAATATGTTAAGCGCGGGATGAGACCCATCATAGTCACCACGACCACCAATAATGGAGCGGCTCAATTTACTAACACCTTGCTAACGCTTAAGGGCTTCCCCGACCTACACATCCTGCGCTATCTATCCAAAACGGCATTCCTCGAAGAGTCACCGGCCACTCCGGCGGACATTCACGAGATCCTTGAGTCCCTAGGTAGTCAGTATGACTCGAAATTAACATCATCGGAGCGAATGTTGTGCGCACGTTTCACCAAAGGCCGTACCCTATATGAGGAATACGCGCGCTATCCCGAACGTTCAATGCATATGTCGGAGAGCGAGATCGAAGAGTACATTCTGGCGGAAAAAGAGGTGTCGGAGTGCGTTAAAAAATGGTGACGCTTATGTTCAAAGTACGAGCACCAGATGTTTTGCTTCTAACCACAGCGTTACTCATCAACACCACGAGCACGGGAGGAATTTTCAAGACCCACATAGGGGACCGCAAGGCGATAATCATTGACGAGGCCTCCCAAGTCCCCGAACCAATTTTCGCATGCATCACCACTCTGTTCCCAGATGCCTCCTAGCTCTATGTCGGAGATGTCAATCAGCTGCAGCCGCATACTAGGTGCCCTCCCGATGCCAATCCAGCGTTGTTTGGGGCTCGCACTATCACAGACGTCCTGGCTCAGTCCCCACTCTTACCGAGAGCAACGCTGGTCACTACGTTTAGAGCACACCCCGCTCTCAACGCGCTGCCCAATATGCTGTCGTATAATGGCACCTAGGTCAGCGGATCTCGAGCGGAGGACTGCCGTCTCCTGCTAGATTGGATACACCTCCCCAACCCACATGTACCCTTCGCCCTCGTGAATTTCGCTGCTTCACGCCATATTGAAATTGCCACTGTGGACTCCATCCAAGGGCGTGAAATGGACGTAGTAATACATCTAACAACGCGTACTGGAATGGAGGGAACATCGTCGCTCC